GCGGAGCAACTAGGCCCGTGAGCCACAACTACTGAGCCTGCGCGTCTGGAGCCTGTGCCCCGCAACAAGAGAGGCCGTGATAGTGAGAGGCCCGCGCACCGCGATGAAGAGTGGCCCCCACTTGCCGCAGCTGGAGAGAGCCCACGCACAGAAACGAAGACACAACACAGCCAAAAATAAATAAATAAATAAATAAAAATAAAGGAATTCCTTTAAAAAAAAAAAAAAAAAAAAGAGCCTAGGTAGATTGATGCAAGGGAAGGGATCCAGCTCCCTTCCCTTGAGCTGGAGTTACTTTTCTGCTTGCCTATTAGATTGCTCCTCATGGACACCCTCCTAACACCTTTCTCCCCAGACCTGCTCACACTGGGTTCCTGTCAGCAGGTAAACAGTGTCACCATCCTTACAATTGCTCAGGCCCAAAATCTCGGCAGCATCTTCAGCCCTTTCTGCTTTTTCAGTGCTGTTCTCCATCCTGGTAGTTGCTAAGTCCTGTTGATTCTTCCTTTTAAATAGATTTCATTCACCTCTTCTTTTCCATTCCCACTACTCTGGTTATGACCCTTTTCATTTCTTATTAAGATTATTGTAATAGTTTCTTGGCTAATTCTTGTTACTTCAAGTCTTCTCTGTCATACCCCATTACCAGAGAAACCTACAGCACATTTTTTTAATATATATAAATCTAGATTGTTTTTAGTAAGTGTATTTCTTTTATTTATTTATTTATTTGGCTGTGCTGTGTCTTTGTTGCTGCTCAGGCTTTCTCTAGTTGCGGCCAGCGGGGGCTACTCTTCGTTGCGGTGTGTGGGCTTCTCACTGCGGTGGCTTCTCTAGTTGCAGAGCTCGGGCTCTAGGCGCACGGGCTTCAGTAGTTGTAGCACGTGGGCTTCAGTAGTTGTGGCGCGTGAGCTCAGTAGTTGTGGCGCACAGGCTCTAGAGCACAGGATCAGTAGTTGTGGTGCGGGCTTAGTTACTCTGCGGTGTGTGGGATCTTCCCGGACCAGGGCTCTAACCCATGTCCCCTACATTGGCAGGTGGATTCTTAACTACTGCGCCACCAGGGAAGCCCTACAGCACATTTCTGATCATTTCACTAGAGAAAAATGTATGACATCAGGGAAATGTAGATCTAAATCACAATAAGATACCCCCTCATACCCATTAGGATAACTATCGTAAACAAACAAACAAAAATTCATAAAATAACAAGTGTTGGTGAGGATGTGGAGAGATTGGAACCCTGGTGCATTGCTAGTGGGAATGTAAAATGGTGTAGCTGCTGTTGAAAACAGTTTGGCAGTTTTTCAAAAAGTAAGCGTAGAATTACTCTATGACCCAGCAATTCCACCCCTAGTTAGAGACCCAGAAGAGTTGAAAGAGGGACGCAAACAAATACTCGTACACCCATGTTCATAGCAGTATTATTCACAACACCCAACCCAGCTGTCCATCAACAGATGAATGGATAAGCAAAATGTGGTACATACATACAATGGAATATTATTCAGCCATAAAAAAGAATGAAATTCTCATGTGTGCTACAACATGATGAACCTTGGAAACATTATGCTAAGTGAAATAAGCCAGATACAAAAGGACAAGTATTGTATGATTCCACTTAATATAAGGTAGCTAGAGTAGACAAGTTCATCAAGCCAGAAGGTAGAATAGTGGTTACCAGGGGTTGCGGGGAAAAAGTAATGGGAAGTTATTTTTTAATGGGTGCAGAGTTTCTGTTTGTGATGATGAAAAAGTTCTGGAAATGGATCATGGTGATGGTTGTACAACATTGTAATGCCACTGAACTGTACACTTAAAAATGGTTAAAATGGTAAAATTTTATATTGTGTATATTTTATCACAGTTTAAAAAAAATCTCTGACTTTATACAGTACTCAAAATAAAATCAAACATTTTAAAGGCCCTCTATATTTTGCTTACTTTTTCAGTCCTATATCTTATATTCTACCTTAAATCATTTCTCTGAACACACTACAGCTCCAGCCTCTGAGACTTTGCTCAAGCTATATAGTGTGCCTCTCTTTAAGATTCAGCTCAAGAGATACCTCCAAAAAACTTTCCAAGATATAAACCATAAAATTAATCTTTTTCTTCTCATTTCTGTTAGTATTCTGGCCCTCTCACAGCCCTCAGCACATTCTGTCCTATGTTAAAGTTATTTGCCTGCATCTGTGTCTTCAGCGAAACTGAGCTCATTCAGGCCTTTCATGTAGTAGGCACCCAATAAATGTTCACTGCATTGAATCTAATCCAGCCCTCTCATTTTATGGATGGGGAGATTGGAATCCAGGGGAGTCACACAGTGACAGAACCAGGACCAGTTTCAAGGTCTTCTGTCTTCTGGCTCAAAAATTTTCTCCCTACACTAACATGCTGACTGTCATGCATCCTGTGGATGGTCAATCTGTGTTGATGGTGGATAATTCAGTATTGTACTATGGAAGAGATGCCACGGCCCAGGCTATAATTTTTTACTTTGTGTGAAATGTTACATGTTTTATCTGAACTCTTTGCACATAGGAAGATCCTGATATATTTTTGTTCTGTTTTCAGCTTCATGTTTCCAGTTGCAGGTGGAATAAGACCCCCTCAAGGTACGTGAAAGTTTAAGTTTTCAACTTTCATTTTTCACTATTATGTTTCTGAACTTGGGGATTAAGTGGGTAAAAAAGTTCTATTGCTGCCAAATAGAGTAAAATTTGCTTATAGTCTCGAACCTCTATGACAGCTTACTCTTAAAATTTCTCAAAAATTGTGTAATTTGGCAAATAAGAAGGATCATTCCTCATTTCTCCCAAACTTATTTAAGCATTATATTGACAGGTTATTATTTAATCTCAGAGATGAAGACTTTCAAGACAAAAGTATTAAAGAAACAGGTGACAAAGATGAACTGAGTTGTAGTTCTCTGAATGCCATCTTTCTCCTGTCTGTCTTCTAGATTGTTAGCTCCGTGGGGCAGGGGCTATGTCTGCCTTATGCTCGTCAGTATCTCCAGCACCCAGCATGTTGATAGAAAATAATAGGGTCTTTATAGATGCTTGTTGAATGAATAAATGAACCCCTTTAGTTATTTTATACTTATGTTTTCTCTATATGAATTTGGTCTTATTTTAATCATGTACATAAGAGATCACATATTCTGATTCCGTTTAAACTATTTTAAGTCTCAGTTTTATTCCTAACAGTTTCTCCACTAGGTATATCCCTTCTCTGTTGGTTTCAGACAAGGGCCCACCAGTACTGATTCTAGCTTTGTCTTCAAGGAAACAGTAGTGCAGGGATATAATCTTGACTCATGCTTCTGTGTCACTGGAACACAAAACTGATGAAAGAATATGTCTGCCCTTCTTTCTGTTCACTTCTCCCACTCCAGTGTGCCCCCCTCGTCTCCACAGGCCAAGCTGCTCTGAAAACCGGCCCTTCTCACAAAGCCAGTGTTAACTGGTTATGGTAGACTTGCTAGAGAAACAGAGACTCCTAGGTCACCAGTAGAGATGAATGATAAAGAGCAGCTCAGTAGCAGGTGGTCAGTGTCTCCATTTATAATCAGTGATGGAGGTTGAGTTTCAGGTAAATTTTTCCAAGGGTCAGTTGTATTCTTTTCATTGTGCTCACATTTATGCATTATTTAAGCTATCTGTAATTAGATGTGTCCCAGATTTAGATCAAATGGTTTGAGATCTTTTGTACTTTAGGAGGGCATTAGAGAGTTGTGTGTTCATTATTGTCGCTCGTCATTTTGCATTTTTATAAACTTTCAAGTAAAAATCTACATATGGAGCAAAGGAACAGGACAAGAAGAGAGCCCAGAAGGTTGCCTGATATTTTTTCTTCTGGAATTTGGAATTGTTTTCAAGATTTTTTTACAAAGTATGTTAGAGTGGACTTTTTGATCTTTTGAAGGCATTAAATTGTGCAGAGGTTATTTCTGAAAGTGTATACAAGGAACAGACAAGAAGAGTAGCTACAAGATCATTGAGTAGGTGAATAGGAGACAGGAGAGAAACAAGACTTGTTTTTTTACTGTGTATACTTCTATGCCGTTGAATGTTGTACCAAATCCTTGAGTTACCTGTTCAACTTAAATACACTTATGAAAATAAATAAAACTGTAGGTCCAAAGGCATAAGAGGGAAAACATCTTACTATGCTATATTCAGTCTGTGTGTGCTTTTTTTTTTTTTTGGTAAATTTATTTATTTATTTATTTATTTATTTTGGCTGTCTTTGTTATTGCGCGTGGGCTTTCTCTGGTTGCGGCGAGCAGGGGCTACTGTTCCTTGCGGCATATGGGCTTCTCATTGCTGTGGCTTCTCTTGTTACGGAGCACAGGCTCTAGGCACGTGGGCTTCAGTAGTTGTGGCACGTAAGCTCAGTAGTTGTGGTTTGCAGGCTCTAGAGCGCAGGCTCAGTAGTTGTGGTGTGTGGGCTTAGTTGCTCTGCGGCGTGTGGGATCTTCCCAGACCAGGGCTCGAACCCGTGTCCCCTGCATTGGCAGGCGGATTTTTAACCACTGCGCCACCAGGGAAGTCCCCAGTCTATGCACTCTAATTCTCCATGACACCTCAAGGCCTTCGCATTTGGTGTTCCTTTGTCTAGAATACTCTAACCAAATATCCTCATGGCTCACTCCCTTCAAGTCCTTGCTTAAATGCCACCCTTTTGGAGAAACCTTTTCTGACTATGAAACAGCAACCACTCCTTTCCCTGGCTCTTCCTTTCCCCCATCCCCACCTGATATTCACTTTTTTTTTTTTAATATGTCTCCCCCAATTACAGTGTAAGTTCCATGAGAGCAAAGACCTGACTTTGTTCAATGTTGTGTCCCTAGAATGGTGCCTGACATGGAGTAGGCCCTCAAATATTTGAAAAAATGATTAATATAAATGAATAGTTTGCCACTGATAAATGTTACGGACAAATGTGGTGTCCATGCTTCTGAAATTAAACTCTGTATGAATAACCTTGAAGGTACACAGAATCCACAAGATAAATATGTTATACTTTACCAGACCTTTGATTTTTTTTAAATCAAAATTTGATTTTAAAAAGTTCCTTATACTAGAACCAGCATGGATGTAATATGTTGTACAGTGCAAAATTAGGATGAAATTTGTGTTCAGGCTATGTAGGGATTTTGTTTTATTCACTGTTGCACACCAGGTATCTAGAACTGTGCCTAAAATGTGGTAGGCATTTCATATTTATTAAATCCCTGAAGGGACGTAATCTTTATTCTCCTGTACTCTTGGGAATACTTCATTGGAAAAGTTTGGGATGTACTGTACTATAAAACATACTTTCATGTTGGTTTTCCTGCCATTGCATTATATACTTGGCGTGCTGATAGCTGTTTTGTGGTGTTATTATTAACTATTCGTGTAAGGAAAGAGAAGAGGAATATCATTTCTTTGAGCATATTAGGTATTAAACAGTTTCACAGGTGTGAAACCGAGGCACAGAAAGAAGTTAATCAAGTTGCTTAAGGTCCCAAACCTAGCAAGTGACATTTTTAGTTGGCTTCCAGAGTTCATGCTCTTAACTACTTATGTATTAAAAGTAACTTAATTAGTGTTAATTAGTATTAACTCTTAACTACTAGTAATCTGCTGCTGTATAAAAATTACCCCAAAACTTAAAGAAAATAAACATTTTACTGTTTTACACTTTGTGTGGGTTAGGTATCTGGGAGTGGCCTCACTAGGTGATTTTGGCTTAGGGCCAAGGAGATTGCATTAAAGATGTCAACTAGGACTGTAGTCATGGGAAGCTTTGATGGATTTGGTAGATTTGTTCCCCAGATGGCTCACTCACATAGATGGCAAATTCGTGCTGCCTTTTGGCAAGAGATTTCAGTTCCTTGCCACATGGATTCTCCATTCCCCCTAGGACTGCTTGAGTATTCTCATGATGTGGCACTGGGTTTCCCCAACGGGTGATCCAGGAGAGCAAGAAGGAAGCTGCAGTGGTTATTAGGAACCTTGGGGGACTTCCCTGGTGGCCCAGTGGTTAAGACTGCGCTCCCAATGCAGGGGGCCTGGGTTCAATCCCTGGTCGGGGAACTAGATCCCACATGCCATAACTTAAGAGCCCACACGCCGCAACGAAGATCCCACACCCGCATGCGGCAACTGAGACCTGGTTGTGCGCAGCCAAATAAATAAATAAATATGATAAAGAGAGGGAGGAAGGGAGTGAGAAAGAAAAGAAAAAAGAAAGGGAAAGGAAGAAGAACCAGCCTTAGAAGTTACACACCGTCATTTCCACAATATCCTATTGGTTATTCTGGTCCGCCCTATTCAGTATGGGAGGGAAGGACAAGGATATGAATACCAAGAGGCAGAGATTGCTGGGGGCCATCTTGAAGGCCAGTTAGGCCATATTGTGTATTTTTTAAGTATGCACAAAAATTCTGTGGAATAGGTATTATTATCTTCATTTTACAGATGAAGTTTTGTAACTTGCCCAAGATCACATAGCTAAGTAAATGATGGAATTGGAATTCATACTCAAGTCTGTCTCACTCCAGAGCCTGTGCCTTTTCCTCTATACTGTGCCACCTCCCAAGTAACAAGTCCTTTAGATGCTTATGGTTTTAAGAAAATAAACTGTAAAACACATTGACCTTAGTGATATCTTTATGTTTTTTCAGCAGGTCTGATGCCGATGCAGCAACAAGGATTTCCTATGGTCTCTGTCATGCAGCCTAACGTGCAAGGCATGATAGGAATGAATTACAGCTCTCAAATGTCCCAGGGACCTATTGCTATACAGGTACTTGCCTCTTTAGCCAATGTTTGCAAAGTTATCGTTTGTTGTTAACTGTCTGTGTTCTAAGAGCTACATACTAGGAGCTTAATGTTATATTTAGAAATAAGTGTAGTCTGCATCTTAGGTGGCTTCCTTCAAAATAAAATGAATATATGTTTGTAAGAGAAAAAAAAAGATAAATCATTTAAGAAAAATCTGGTGACCTCTATATTTGATTACTTACTTAGAAGAATTATAGAATGGCATCTTGGAAAGTTTAGGGACCTGATGCCGTGAAATCACATTGTTAGAAGAACTCTGCTGTTCTTATGAAGGGAGCAGTATTGTCATTTGCAAGGCTTAGATACTGCTTTATATTGAATTGTCTCATCTAATCCCCATAACAATTTTTTAAAGAGGTGGTATCTCCATTTTTCTGATGAGGAAACTGAAGTGTTGTGAGGATGCTCAGAGCATAGCCACGATTTGAACCTGTGTCTTCAGTAGGTCTGTTACTTGACTATTTATACATTGAATTCTCTCTTGAGAGCATCAGAGAGCCATTGACTGGTATAAAGCGTGGAATGACGCAATCATAATTGTGTTTCAAAAAGATCATTCTGACTGCTGATTGGAGAGTGATTAGAAGGAGAGGGGAGAGCGAAAGTGGATGTAAGAAGAATCATTAAGAGGCTGATGTAGTGAGAGCAGGTGAGATGTTGGCTTAACTTAGGGTGGTAGCAGGTAGGTGCAGAGATGGATGTTTTTGAGAACTTCTTAGGAAATAAAATGAAGAGAATTTGATGAAGGATTGGATGTTGAAAATAAAGGAGAAGGTGGTATCACATTGATTCCCCGTTTTCGGCATGAGCCACTGGTCATTTATTAATAAAAGAAACACCAGAAGAGATTGTTTGCTGGAACATAATTGTTGATTTTTAAGGACCCATGAAATATTCAAGTGGGGCTGTCCAGAGACAATCAGTTGACCTGGCACTCCAGATTTTTCACTCTGGGTTGAAAATTATAGATTTGGGAATCATGCACACATAGAAGGTAATTGATGCCATAGGGGTGAACTAGAACATCCAAGAGCCCTGTAGATGGAGAAAATAGTCCAGGATAGAGCCTTCAGAATTTCAGAGTTTAAATCTAAGGGAGTGAGTTGCAAACAGAGGAGATTGAAGAGGAACAGCCACAGAAGGTGGTGGGGTTGGGGGGTGGGGGGATTAAAGAAAAAAAACATGGGTGTCAGACAGACCTAGCTTTGCCACTTACCTGTAAAACGGGGATTTAATAATAACCTGCCTGTACGGTTATAGAAAGAATTGAAAAAGGAATTATATAAAGCACTTGGAAATGTACCTGGCACACAGTGAGCAGGAAGTGGCAAGAAATTTTTATTTCTTATATTGTTAATATCAGGACTGATCTTTCCAGTGGCATGACACTATTTCATGTTCTGTTTTTAATATTTGTCTGACTATGTTTCCATGCTTTCATTGGCTCACAACCCCCATTTCTGTCTAAAACATTCTTTCTTGAATAATGGTAATAAGCAGTAATAATAATAATGACCACCATTTGTTGCTTACCTGTGCTATATTCATTGTGTGCATTATATCATTCAGTCCTCATAACAACTCTATAAGTAATATTTTTATTCCCATTTTATAGATAAGGAAACTGCAGTCAGAGAGATTCAGTGCCCTGTTCAGTGTCATACAGCTTGTTTCAGAACAGAGACTGAAGCCAAAGCTGTCTTACATTTTGGAGCCTGGGTTCTTAATTACCAGTGTTTCCCAGCCTTTAGTCATTTGAGTATCACCTTCATGATTTTTGGCGTGTATTATTTAATTAATATTTTTAATTGGTTAGGTTTGCAGCAAATTCTTAAAGGAATCTTTTCTTGTTAAGTAAGTAGTAAACCTCATTTGTTATAAACAGAGGGTAACCAAAAAATAAATATGATGAATCAAAACAATATTACCAAATTCTAGCTAGGTACTGTTACTTATTGGAGTTTATAAACCTCATGTTTACTTTCTCTTTGTTTAAAAAAAAAAAAGTAAATTATGTCTACAGTTTACCCACAAATGGTTCAGCAAAAGAAAAAAAGAGTGTATGTATGTGTAGAAACAGAGCAGGGACTTCCCTGGTGGTCCAGTGGATAAGACTCCATGCTCCCTATGCAGGGGGCCTGAGTTCAATCGCTGGTCGGGGAACTAGATCCCACATCCCACAACTAAAGATCCCGCGTGCTGCAACTAAGACCTGACGCAACCAAACAAATAAATATTAAAACAAACATTTAAAACAAAAAACAGAACAAATAGGGCAAAATGTTAATATTATATTGTTCTTCCAGGGATTCCCTGATGGTCCAGTGGTTAAGAGTCCGTGTTTTCACTGCCAAGGGTGTGGGTTCAATCCCTGGTCAGGGAACTAAGATCCTGCAAGGCCCTAGGCACAGCCAAAAAATTTTAAAATAAAACAAAAAAATATATATTATACTGTTCTTCCACATTTTCTGTAAATTTTATATTTAAAAAGGAGAATTTAGGTAAAAATTAATAACACTTAAAATGAGACATAAATGAGAATCTGAATGAGAGTTGCAGGGGAACTGAAGAGAATTTTCCTGCTAGCATGCTGAGCTTATGTCCCTGCGTAGCTGGTCGTGATCATAGATAGTGTAAATTAAAGCAAATAAGGTTGTTTTGTTTTGCTTTTGTTTTGGTTTTAGAATTGGTGAGTGAAATTGATAGTATCATGATTTAATTAATAAGTACAGCCTAAGGAATGGGCTTTACCCACATTGGTAAATTATCTTCTTCAAGCATGATACCCTTTTAAACCAACTAAACTGAATCCAGGAGTCAGATCTTTGGCTGACTCCGAAGTGTTATATTATTGAAAAAGAAAGAAAGAAAGAAAAAAAAGTCAGTCACAAATAAACCAGAACAAAAGGATTTTGTACTATTAATATTTTAAATGCCATATATTTCATTTTTACCTAATTATTTAAAATTTTCTATTCCTGCATGTTTTATGTATATATTAGTATAATAGCACATGTATATAAATTATAAATAATGGGAGTTAGCAATCAACTTAAGTTTAAACCATTGTCATGTCAAAGTCATTTAAGCAAATAAAGCTTCTATGTTGTATGTAAAGATTTAGGAAAACTTCCAAATCATTCTTTATTCACCTCCAGTAAGAAGAAAATACGAATAAATTGAGCTTTTGTAGGTTTTAAGTCCAAGTTACTCAGCTTTCACTAGGTTATGCTACAGAAACAAAAATCCCCAAGTCTCAGTGACTTACAGAAACAGATTTATTTCTCATTTATGATACGTGTCATTTATGAGTTAGCTGATTCAGCTGCATGTTCTCTTTATTGTGAGACCCTTACCAAGGACATCCCAGAGATGGCCAAACCCTGTGATGTCTTTTAAAGCTTTCTCTCAGAGGCAGGATTTATCAGTCACTTCTCACAAAGTAGTATGACTCAAAACATCATTAGGAGAGTATACCAGGAGGAACGCACACCACATAGGGATGTGTCATCTTATAGTAAGGGCAGCAAGTAATTGGAAACAATCTACCAAAGAATACCATGTGTTTCTAATTAAGATTTAGTAAACTTACCACTGAATCTTAACAACTGATACAATTTTTAGGGGTGGGGGCGGTGGGGGGCTTGTGGGATCTTAGTTCCCTGACCAGAGATTGAACCCGTGCCCTCAGCAATGAAAGCGCAGAGTCCTAACCACTGGACCGCCATTGAATGCCCACAATTTTAAAATCATTAATTTTCACATTAAACGTTTTATAACTTGCGTAATTATCTAAAAAAAACTTTTTTAAGAGTTTGAAACAACCAAAACCAGTAAGGATCTCTAACATGCAGAAAAACAATAAGAAAGTGAACTACCAGATTTGATGTCACCCAAATAATTTCCCTGAGTATCAGGAGTTTAGGATTAATGGTTCTAAAGTAAAGAAGCCAAAATCTTTTTCTTTAACCGTATTCTTGCTGACAGGCATTATACTGCTTGGAAGCTGCTCACTGTTCTTAAAGGAGAAACTCATTCAGGTCTTATTTTTCTCCCTCAAACTTAATAACCTGAACCAACCACAGACATGTATGAGGAATACCCATTATTCTTTAGTCACCCCTTAAATGTTTGAAGGGTGCACTTTCAGATAAAAGTCAAAGATGAAAATTAGTCTTGGTTGCCGCATAGCCCTCCACTCCCCCAAACTCAGAACACACTTCACAAGATTTAGAATAAATTTTAAAGTTATTATTCAAAATATTTCAAGTATATAGGGAAGAATAGACTATATGATGAACATGTGTGAGGTAATTGCACAGCTTTATCAAAACATTTTTCGTTAAACTTTTAATTTTGAGGTAAATGTCTGTACACATGTACATAAGAAATAATACAAAGAGATCCTTTCCCTGTTTCCCCCAGTGGTAACAAGTTGCAGAACTACAGTATAATATCACAGCCGGTATGTTGGCATTGATACAGTCAAGATACAGAACATTCCCATCACCCCAGGGATCTCCTCATGTTGACATTTTATAGCAAAATTCATCTCCCTCCCACTTCATACCCCCCAACCCTTGTCAATCACTAATATGTTTCCCATTTCTATAATTATGTGATTTCAACAATGTTACCTAAATTGAATCACTAGCCTTTTGAAATTGGCTTTTTTTTTTGCTCTGCATAATTCCCTTGAAGTTCATCCAAGTTGTTGCGTGTACTTCATTTTTATTGCTGAGTAATATTCCATTATTGTGTATATACTACTGTCTGTTTAACCATTGACGCATTGAAGGTTGTCTGGGCTGTTTTTTACTTTTTAGCTATGACAAATAGAGGGTTTTGTGTGAACATAAGGCTTCATTTCTCTGGGATTAACGCCCAGGAGTGTGGGGTGGCATGGTATTTGGATGTTTAGTTTTTACAGAAACTGTTTTCTAGGGTGGTTGTACCCTTTTA